ATGTTCGAAGAATGACGTAGAATGTTCCACAAAGAGAAACGTCAAGTTGGATGAACACTGCGAACAGCGAGAGAAATCTGCCTATTTCTCGTTGTTCGCTTTGTGTTGCCGCAATATTCGCCACATTATTTATTCATCGATTTTCTTCATTAGTAACTTGATTTTTTTTGTAACAGAACAGGCTTTAGCACAAATGCAAAAATTTGGCACAGANGATTTTCTTCATTAGTAACTTGATTTTTTTTGTAACAGAACAGGCTTTAGCACAAATGCAAAAATTTGGCACAGAACCTGTTATTTTTAAATTTTTCGTCTGTTAAAGTAAAATTTTTTTAATTTTTTCATTGAGAAATAAAAAAACGAACGATTAATTAATTTGTTAGAAACTATAAGTCCTATCGGAAAGTGATGTATAAACGGTTTATGGAGAATTTAAATAGCTTTCATTTGCCGTATTTTATATGAATTGTTAAATTGGTTCGTAAGATATACGTGATTAAAAGGAACCAATTTTTGCTTTAAGCTGAATAACGGTAAATTGAAAATATCTCGAAAACGTATCCATAGAACAAAAACTTAACTAGATTTTCGGAATCAGCGAACAAGTCTATATAGAGATTGGATAGTGGCATCCATTGAACATTTTTGCTGTAAACAAGTGCAATTATTTCAAATTTTCGTAAGAATTATAAGTCTTTTGATAATAATTATGTGTGAGAAAAAATGTTTAAGTCATCGATACCTATTATTTTACGACTTAAATAATAAATAAAAAAATAAAATAATAAATAAAAAAACTGGACGCTTTCAAATCAACGAAGAGAGGGTTAGAGGTCCGCGAATGGCGCGACCTTTATTTTCTGGATCGTGAACCAAGGTCCTCAACCCGTCTATGGCCACTCTCATCATACTAGGCATCTGGAAAATGGGGAGAGTGGTCCCACTACTTAAACTGGGAAATCGTCCAACAAAGGAGTCTTACCACCCAATAACCCTCCTTTTCCAGGTAGCGAAGACACTAGAGGTCTTTCTACTCACGCACTACATAAACCACCAGACCCCAGCGAAGCATCAGCATAAGTTAAGTGCATAGCACAACAACAGCACTTAACGCCATAAAAACCCAGATAGCTCGTGGCCTTAACCGAAACCGGCCCCGTGAGAGAACAGTCCTAGTAGCGTTAGATCTGTTAAAGGCATTTGACACCGTCAGTCACTCCACGCTACAAGGAGACATTGAGGCCTTCTCTCTCCCACAGAGACTCAAACGGTGGTCGGCGAATTATCCTGAGTGGTCGACATTCGTCAGTAACCTTCAGAGACAAAAACAGCAAACCAAGAAAAATTAAACAGGGGTTCCACAGGGTGGTGTCCTATCCCCACTATTGTTTAATTATTATATTTCAAAACTCCCTCAACCATCAGAGGGAGTCACTATTGTCTCTTATGCTACAGACCTGCCAGAACACGGCACTTCGGACAGCGACCGGATGCCTTCTGATGTCACAACACCACCCACACGACGAGGCCCAGATGCTCCCCATCAAGAAGCATAACACAAAGCTCTGCAAGCAGTTTCTAGTAGGGTGCCACTGATAAACTGAAAATTTAGAGCCCTACTACCGCTATTACTCGTTAGTATATAATCATTTTCACTTTAATTGACTTTAATTGCAATAGTAAATCCTATTCATCATGAAGGATAAGTTAAAAAACAAGTAATTTTTAGCAAAAAAAAGAACCGACTTAAAAAAAAATATATATATCTATTATTTCATTATCCAATGATCGGATCTAAACCAAATGTATGGGACCACCTCTGAGACACTACCTTTCCGTTGCAAAAAGAATTATTGAAATCGGTTGACGTGGTGCAAAGTTATGCGGTAACATACATAAAAAAAAAAAAAAAAATATTCCGACGAACTGATAACGTCCTCCTTTTTTGGAAGTCGGTTAATAATACATAATTTTACATTTCTCTTGTGCCAATTCGTAGCATTTTACTGCTGGAAAGTTTTGAGAGCTTCTCTGGTGCAGAAGGTGGGCAATTAAAATGCAGCAATTATATAAAAACATTTGTCTTTGCTAATTTTAATTCTTCTGGGACTTAAAGCCATGCATTTATTAGATGTCGTGGCAAAAATATTAGGACAAAAGACAGTTCAAAACCGTCAGGTGTGTGTTATTCTTGCTGTCAAACTTTTAACAGCATTGCTAGCTCGGCAATCTTTATTCACCTCATAGTTGTCAAAAATGTACAATCCGGAATGATAAATGGAGAAGGCAGGTAATATTTACAACGCATAGATCTGTCAAAAGTTTGTATTGAAAATTTGCAGTGGCTCGAGCTGATTGGCTCAATGCAAAGCTATAACAAAAATTTAGAGCTTAAATTTCGATTTAATTCTAAAAATGCAATTATTATAAGACTCATAAAGAAACTTTTTTTGATTTTGTTTTATTCATATAAATATGCTTCTTAATATTACACATATTATTTACCTATACCAATCTTTTTTGCATCTACTTCATAAATTAGCAATCTCCACATTTTCACAACGAAAACTTCTGCTTCTTCGTCCAAGACCTAAAGAAATATATATTAACAAATCAACAAGAAATTTAGTCTGATAATATAGATGAATTACCATTTGCACATCGTCCAAAATGCTTTGGGGTGAACTTCCTGCAAGCACCTTAGAGCATATAAAATCGACAAGCGTTGGCTCGGGCTCACCAATATACTCAATAATTTTTTTGTTTATCCATGGTCGAATTTTTCTTTCCATAAGGTTGTTGTCAATTTCGTTGCGATCAAGCTTATAATTGAACAAATCCTCCTTTTGTGTAGGAATCCTGTCAATGATGCTTTTAATGTGCCGACGTTTTTCATCGTGTATCCTAGTATTATTTTCCTCCTTTTTGTTATTCACTGTTTCTGTAGTGGCAGTATCATTCTTACCATGTTTTTTCGAGATAGATTTTCCGGCATTCGAGTTATGGCGTTCTGTTTGTGATGTGCTTCCTCCGCCACTTCTTGTTTGATTGTCATCGTAATCTAAACTCAAAAAAAATTTATTAAGTTTTGTCGGTATCGTTAAAATATTGTGTTTACCCAATGGAACCAATTTTCGCCGTTTTGAGCTACTCTCGTCATCAACATCCTCGTCAGCATTAAACACACCAGTGGATTCTATTTTCTTCTTTTTGGAATTCGCACCCAAATTCAGAGTTATGACGGGCGCCTGTGTGGGTGTTGTAGTGGCGTCTGTAGTCTGAGACCTTGAATTGCCTAAACTCTGCAATGAACCGGACGGTGTAGAGTTTCCTGCATGCGCATTCACGCTCGATATACAGTCACGTGACTCGGAACCATGGCGGCTGTAGTGGATTTCAATATTTGAAGCAGAATTTGGTCTAGAGTTGGCATCTTCGTTTGAAATTGACTCTATGGAATACGATTTGGCCAGGGCATTCATTTCGCCTTCATCATTTGAATTAACATCAAGAATGTGTCGATTGCTTTCAATTGATTGCAATTTTTCCCGGATTCGTTCTTTCTCACGTTCTTTACGTTGCAAATTTTCTAAATTCACATCGATTAATATTTGAGGTTTATATAATTTCTCATGCTCTTTCTTTGCTCTTTCATATTCTTGTGTAGGATTTTCATATTCGCCACTGAATATTTTATTTCGCAATTCTTCCAATTCCTCTTGTTCTTTGTTGCGATCTTTAGCATCAAGATCTGCTTCTCGGACGCGATCTCCCAATCTTCTCTGCAGCTCTCGGCCCCTGTAGAACAAAATTGAAGAAAAATTATTTTTCAATTAAGTGCTATTTCAGCTCCTGGTAAATTTTTTAAAAATTTCTTACTTATAATATTTATGGTCATCTCGTTCATCATCATAGTCTTCAACAAATTCTTTGAGTCGTTTTGCTTCCTTTTCTCGTTCCTCAAGCTTCATTTTATCCTTAATCCGAATCTTAAAGCGAGCAAAAACTTACATTTTTAAGCCGCTTATTTTTAATCAAGGTGGCATAAAGTACGTACCTTTTCGTATTCCTTAGCTTTACGCTTTTCTCTTATTTCCCAGTTTTTAAGTCTTTCTTGGTACGCTTCTTCCTTTTCACGAGCTTTCTTTTCCGCTTTTTTACGCTCTCGAAGCTCTTCTTCGATTTCTTTCTCTCTATGCAGATCTCTGATATTCTTAACAATTTTTTCCTCCCGCTCTCTGCATGAAAAAAATATTAACCGTTTATGATTTGGTTGGTACAAAAACAATGTTCTTATAAAAGATAGCAGCCTTCCCAATTTGTATACCTACAATGTAACAAGCACACAATGCTTATACAAATTATTGAAAAATTAATCCTTCATGGGTTAGGTACTTATAGAAAAGGAAAAGTTATGGCCAAATACAATTCGCCAGTTGATAAAAAGTCGAATACCATGCCATGAGTGGGACTTTGCAACTAAGTTTGTAGACGCAAGAACAACTCGGAGATAATCAGGGCTATCCCTGAATCTAACGTAGATAATCTACGAATTCGAATGCTTGCTACGAATACGAAAAAAGCGCCATCACTGGATCCGAGTGAGCTCGAAAAAATTTTTGCCATATTCGAATTCCACATTTTGACGTTTCGAAATAATCTAGTTACAAGAAACAATGAAATGTTAAGTAATGTATTTTTTCGTATTTTTTTAATAATTTAAAAACTTTAAAAGGCTGATATGGATTTATTCGCATACAAGGGAACGTTTAGAAAAATTCAGGATTCAATTCTGCACAAAATATTGGTGCAAGCCATCCCGCAGCGGACTTTCATGAAAAATTTCAATATTGGGAAAATGGCACCATATCATATCTTTCAATCACCGCTGCCACTAACAATTTTTGCCCCTACCAATTTTCTTCCCAAATCCGACCAAAATCGTTTACAACCTACCAAATAAATTTCAATTACAAAAAAGCGTTCTGAAAGTATACATTTATTTAAGATTAATAGCCCAATTCTGTATCGGCGATAAAATTTTTTTTACTGACAAATTTAAACTTTTTCATATATATATTTTTCCGTAATAAAAACTGTGACAAGAATTAGTCACTGATACAGAATAGAGCCGTAAATGTTCCGAATACAAAACATTTACATACATACGTATTTGTACTTTGTACATTTTAAAACAAACAAGAAATAAATAAATGCAGATAGTCTTAGGCACAGAGATAAGAAAATATACGATAGAAATAAAAAAAGCATTTGGTTTTGCAACACATTCCTTCTGCCAAGTCTGCGGATCGCATACCGTTTACTTCGTAAAAGCAGGAAATAAAATAAAATTTCCTCAACTATTCTTAACACAACGCTTCCGAACAGTAGTCCTGAAATTCCTTCAGTTGATGTATCCTCTTTGGACTGTGGGAAAAGAAGCTATATATGTTGCGGCACAGTGTCTCAATGCTTTTCGGCAATTTTTTACAAGCGCAGCTTGAGCAAAGGTGAAGTGAGTTGCATGTGCACTTTATATAAAATAAATCGGTTTCAGCACTCAATAATGTTTTCAGCCCGCCTAAGTCTCCAGCCATAACATTGGCTCCATAAGTGGCCAAACCAATTAGGTTTCTTATTTTTAAAGGACGGATTGGCAAATGTTTAAAAGGTACAATTGGCAAATATTTTTTAAAAGGATGTTTGAAATATATATTTTTATAATTAAGAATTTAAAGACTTAATTCAACTATCCGACCAAAATCTTACTTTGCCGACCAACCTACCAACTGAAAAAGAAGCGACCAAATTTGGTCGGAAAAGACCAATAGTGGCAACACTGCTTACCACTCTAAATTATACACTCTGTCTAACGGTACAATTAATAAGGTCATTTGTAAACTCATCATTTCAGAATTTGCATCGCAAGTGAACGCGCACAGTGTCATTATTAGTGTTAGTGGAGCGATTGTATGTCTGATTTCAGTGTTAAATTTCTCAGAATGTGTGTGCTTGTGAAATTTGGTTTGGTTCAAGGCAATGGTAAGTATTTTATCACAAATATTTGATTTTCAACAAGCCCCAACCACCAAAAAAACGTAAGCGACATATTTAAAAAAAAAATCTTTTTAATGCAGAATAGTGATGTGCTGAATTGTCGGTACCCAATACTCGGTACCCAATACTTAAAAAAGGTTTCGTACCCAATACTTCCTTTTCGGTACCCGATACCGATTCTTTACATTAAACCTTCGCCATTATATGAATTTCAAGTTTAGAAAAAACTTGCATTACTGATTTATGTGATATCGGCTAAAACACTTGAACCTATCGCAACAAAAAAATATTATTTTATCAGTTTTAACCTTAGTCGATCCAAGGTTCAAGAAAAATGGTTTGACGGATGAAGAAGCCTTTCAGGGGGGAGATTCTGTAAACAGTTAGCGACAAGTTTCGGATCGATATCGCACTTGTTGACGTAAAAATATTTCATATCATACGTCAACAAAACCGATTCCGATTCGAAAATTGTCGCTAACTGGTTACAGAATCTGCCCGCAGGCCTACAAAAATGATATCGTCCGATTCAGCTGGAACAAAAATGCTTCAAGCATTATGGATACTTTTTAAATCGGTACCGAATATCAATCAATACTTAAAAGTAGACATATATACATCTTTCATTTGAATCAGTATTAAAAGCACTATTGGCTCCTACATTCGGGTTTTATTAGGCGAGTCTCCCCTGAACCGCTTTTTCCATATTTTTTTTTTTAGTTTTTAGTTTTGCGAAAAATTCATGTGTGCCAGTTGGTTGTAGAGCTACCTAAGCGATCGCTCAGGAATCAATTAGCGCATAAAAGCGCCATTTTGGTGTGTGTGCCAGTAGAAAAGATAAATGTGTCACAATCGAATAATTTTTATGGCATTGGTGGACATAAGCATCAACTGCTGGGTGAAATTGATAGTATTATAAAATTCAGAAACAGATTTAAAAAAATTAAATTACTTATACTGCCCGATGACTCTATGTCAATAACCATAACGCTGGGAGGGGATTTTTCACGTATTTTTGAAATTCATTTAACTGAAAAGAAATTAGTTTATAAAAAGAGTGCACTGAATTCATTAAATAAAACAAACTTTTGCACTTTAAAACCGAATGACTTTATGAATATGGTAAGATACAAGATTTTAAATGATAAGTATGTACAACTTTGTAGACATAATGGAAATAGTGAAGATGTAAATGTAAGCACCGAGTTAGCTGAATTCACTCGTGAATCATGTACAGGTGGTGGGATGCTTTTGCCGGAAATTTTCGGTATAGAAATTGCTTTCGATGATAATGAGGTAGATATTGACGCGAATATGATTAGTGCTCATCGTGATGAATTGAATAATATAATCCTAGATACATATATAGCGCCGAAGAATATTCGTATTTGTCCTCTACATAGATTATTATATGCAAATTCTTTTAACCACGGACGTTCCGTTTCATTGTGCCCCTAGACGATTGTCCTTTCGAGAACGAGCTATGGTTCAAGAAATAGTTGACCAATTGCAAAAAGATGGAATAGTTATGCCAAGCAGTTCGCCTTATGCATCGGCCATAGTCTTAGTAAAAAAAAAAAAGATGGAGATGGGAGGTTATGTGTTGACTATCGAGGTTTAAACAAGATAACCGTAAGGGACAACTATCCATTGCTACTAATTGAGGACTGTTTAGAGTATTTAGAAGGGAAAAAACTATTTACTTTGCTTGATCTAAAAAGTGGGTTTAATCAGGTTAATATGTATTTCGCTTGAATCGATCCCATATAGTGCTTTTGTTACTCCAAATCAGGGTGGGCAAAAACTCGAGTTCGAGCGAGCGAGCGACCAAACTCCTACTCAATGCCTCGCAGGCAACGAGGCCCTCGCAGCTCGTAGTCGTAGCAGTAATGAGGCGAGGCACGAGAAGTTTGGCTGGCTCGGCAAACGAGCGAGCGCTGCTTGTTTGCTCGCGCTCCTATTTAACGAACGAGGCTGTTGTGTGTTGCCTCGCTCGCAGTGCGAGGCGAGTACCTATCTGCATACTCGCTCTGCTAGGTAAAACGAGTGAGCGACGAGCGAGCGCTCCGAGTGTACTATACAACACATGCATTTTTGTGCATAAAAATGGGAATGTACGAAATTATGTTAAGAATTGTATGTACATATGTACATATGCATACAAATATGTGAATATTATATTAGGGCAGCATTTAAAACAACAAATACAAATTATTACATACATAAGCATAGATTATGGAATTAAATATTTTTTAGAGTTATATACATACATATGTACACACACAACATGCCCTGCAAAAAATTGTGCGACTAATCTCTAAAGAGAGAATTCCGTGATTACTCTCAATCGGGCACAATTGGGAATTAATTAGTCCCAATTAGTCTCATACGGGTACTAATGGAGGTCAATTAGTCTCGACTCATCCCTTATGGCCTCGCGAGGTCAGAGCCAATGAGGTCTTCGTTTGCTGGCCGCTCTACTCTTGCGCTGCCCTCGTTTGCTTACTCGCTCGCTGGCTGCTCAGCGCGTGCGCTCGTACTTAACGAGTGCTCGTTTGCAAACAACCTCGCCTGTTGCTCGTGAGTTGCGCAAGCTCAGAGCAAACTAACGAGCGAGAGAGGGGCTAAAATGAGGCAAATCCGAACTCTGCTCCAAATGGCCAATATGAATATGTGAAAATGCCGTTTGGTTTGAAAAATGGTCCTGCCGTTTTTCAAAGATTCATTAATGAAATATTCCTTGACATGGTGAATGATAGGAAGATTAAAATTTATATGGATGATATTTTAATACCAACAGCCGACTTTGATGAACACAAGAGCTTGGTTCAGAAAGTACTTCAGCTATAATGTTGCGAAACTTGAAACTTAATCTAAAAAAATGCAAAATTTGGATATAATACAATAGAGTACCTAGGATATTTAGTATCTTCTAACGGAATATCATTAAGTGAGTCTCATATAGCTGCAATAAAGAGGTATCCGTCCCGACAAATCAAAAAGAGTTACACTCATGCTTAGGTTTATTTTCATATATTCAACGATTTGTGCCGTCATTTTCAAAAATTGCCAGACCATTACAAAATCTTTTAAAACAAAATGCAGTTTTTAAATTTGATGAAGGGTACCTTGGGGCATTCAACTATTCGAAGACTAAGTTGAGCGAGGCGCCGGTGATTGCCATCTATAGCCCTAAGCGGGAAACAGAATTGCACTGCGATGCTAGCGCAATCGGATTCGGTGCTGTTCTTTTACAGCGCCAGGATGAGGGCAAATTTCATCCGATATCGTATTTTTCCAAAACAACTTCCAATGCGGAGGCTAGATATCATAGTTTCGAATTGGAAAAACTGGCCATAATTTATGCATTGCGACGTTTTCGTGTATATTTAGAGGGTATTACATTCAAGATAGTTACAGATTGTAACTCGTTGACAATGACACTAGGCAAGAGGCAAGTTAATCCTCGAAATGCAAGATGGGTGCTGGAACTATGTCCCGCACGAGATGAAGCAGAATGTTATACGATTAATTCATGAGAAGATTGGTCATCAGGCAGCTGAGAAGAGTTACGAAAAGACAAGGATGTATTACTGGTTTCCAGGTATGCGAGAAAAGATAGAACGTTTCGTTCAAAATTGTATAAAGTGTATCATGTACGCAACGCCTGTCCGAGAAACAGAGCGGAATTTCTATAATATAGAAAAGAGACCAGTGCCGTTCGATTCGTTACACATAGATCACTTTGGACCATTACCATGTATTAACTCGAAAAGGAAACACATTCTTGTGGTTATAGACGCATTTACGGAATTTGTTAAGTTATACCCGACGAATTCGACTAGCACGCGTGAGGTCACTAATATTCTTGATAAGTAC